ACTGGTATACTTTCAAAGGAGCAACAGCTTTGAAAGCATCTCACCTCACACTGAGCTCCAGTAACATTTGTATCAGGGTTTTATTGACTTTTTTGTCTCCTTAACTTTGGAATTCTAAGGGGTTAAACTAAAAGGTAAATATTCTAACTCCAGTGAGGCAGATTGTATTACTTCAAAAATGGTATTAGTCATTGTGATATAAAATTATTTAAAACATAATTAAAATTACTTGCAGGAAAAATGTCAAATGTAAATATTAAATATCAAACCAAGCTTGAAGGCATGGTATATGTCTTAGGCAACCCCATGTTTGACATGCACTTAGCCTTGAACATTGCAGGAGACTCCTCCTTCAAAAAATAGTTTGTTTCAGGACCTATCACCAGTGTGAGACAATCATTTATAAACATTTTCATGGAAGTTGGTCAAAAGCACTTATAGTCTTTCTGCTACTACAGATGATTATACAGTAAGCCTTGCATAGAGAAAAAAAATTTTCCTACAGTTGGAAACATCTTGAACTCTTCAAGGCTCATATAACTTCAGAGCAATGGAAACCACATTTTTTTTTTTTTTACTATATCCTAGATCTTACCACAGAATGGCAAAAACAAAAATAAAAAAGATGGTTTTTGGTGGGGCAAGTGGAGGAGTGTGGTCAGTAGATGGAAAACTATTATATTCTGGCACTATAAACTCTTCACAATAATGTTGTAGATGGGATAGTGAGAGGTGGGAACATGGTTTCTCATGGATCAGTGTAGTCTAAAAAACGTGCCCTCAATTTTGGCTAAGGAGGAGTATATTTAATATTTTTAAATCAATCACAATAGTATATACTCAATGTCTACTATGTGAGAGGAAAATAAAAGCAGAATATATGACTATCTTTGATTACAAGTACAATATAATTGAGGTGACAAAATGCACACATATTGTGGTAAATCATGTTTCACTGTGTTATTGCCATAAGAATTTATCATGAGGGAAAAGACATGGCTTGACAGTTATTAGGAAGAAAGTATCTCACTCTACCAGTACAAATTGCTCCCTCAAATTCAATAGTAATATAAAATATTATAAGTTTTAGGTATCCTTATTTTTTCAATTATGTTTGGAAGTAACTTTCCACTAATCTCACACAGGCTCATTGAAACTAGAGGGCGGGATTCTTCAGTCTTTAGCTCCATTAACAATTAAATGATCTGCCCATAGTAAGCTCTTGATGAAATTTTGTTGAATAAATTAATTTTTGGCAGTTTCATTCTTTAAAAATATTAGTCATATAACTTTTTCATTAATAACTGCAATACTCTCATGCCATCCACTACTCTGAGACATTTATACAGTTTTCTTCATTAAGTCTATCTGACACTGACAAGGTAGTAAGGAAATGTAGATGCTACACATAAGTGTTCTATCATATAACTATATCTCCGTGTCCTAACAAAACATAAGTTCCTTGGCTAAGGCTTCTAAACACCTCCAAGATGACTTCTACAGGAATATGTCTGTATAGCATGGGTACATATATTGCTGATTTACTGACCTATTGAAAGTTTGGCATTCATATTCAGAAGGCTTAGTAATACTAAACTAATTCCTCATGTAATTCTGTATCTTAATTTCTAACTTTGCACTAATGGGTGATTTGTGAATGTATATGAGTCAAAGGGTGTTTTAATAGATTGTATCTATTCGTATGTTCTATGGAATGCTTCTTTTTCTCACCAAACATTCAGCAATGTGCACTGCTGCAGTCTGAAAAAATCATATCATCTACTGTAGGAAAGAAAGAATTTAGGTTTCTCCAAAGTATACATAACACTACTATTTTACTTCTCTAAATATAACATTTAAGTACCATCACAGCAGCAAAGGAAACATTCAACACTCTACACACCCATATGCTATCTAGCCTCCCTCTGGATCTTGCTCTGACTCCTGCTTGATGGAGTAAAGATTAAAACATGTTCCTCTTGGTTGATACTAGTAAAGTAAAACAGCTTTGAGAAAGGAGGTGTTATTAGGTTATGAATCATATTCCTAGACATATGATTGTCATCTAAAGTTTAAATGTCAGCTCTTTTAGGATTAGCCTGGCTGACAGTCACTTGAGGGACTAGAAGATGGAAGTGTCATGTACAGACTTTGGTGGACCTGGTAGCCTGAGGCTCCTGTGGGCCTTCCCAGTATCTTCTTCTGTGAAGAATTCTTAACCTCAGAATAATACATGTACTCATTTTTTTCATACTCAAGGAACACTCCCTTCATTGAAGAATCCCTCTAGCTATTTATTGCCTTCAGTCTTTTACAGAAAAATTATTTGAACAATTAGCTTATATCCAATTATTCCATTTCTTTCCTTCCAAGTCACTACTTCCACTAGGTTCATCACTGAACTCCATATTTACACACCAAAATAATAATCTCATGCCATAACATTATTTTATCATTTAACCTCTCTTAGGTATTTGGCATTTCCTTTAAAATTTTCATGTTCTCTTGGATTTAAGGATAGTTCATTTGTTTAATGTGCTTTTTAAAAAATTTTATTAAGGTATTATATGTGTATATATCTTACCATTGCCCCACCACCCCACTCCCATACATGGCCTCACCCCCCCACAGCATTGTGTGTCCATTGGTTATGGTTATATGCATGCATAAGTCCTGCAGTTGATCTCTTATGTCATACTTTTCAATGCCTTTCATAGTCTTGCTCTTTTTCTTTATGGGCTTCCTCAACAAATGTTTAAAGACTGGTGTTACTCCTGGTGGTCATCCTTGTTCTTCTGCTGTTCTTATTCCATAAAGTTTTTTGAATGATTTATTCCAAACCATAGCCTAATGTTCCAGTTGTATCTGATGACTTCCAAGTCTATATATTAAAATTCCTAATTGTGTTCCAGACCCACGTTTCAACTTGCTTAAGAAATACTCCCACCTGAATGTATCACAAGCATATCATATTCAACATGTACATTATAAAGCCCATATATTGTATTTTCCTGCAATTTCCCTCTGTCCTCTGGTTACCATGCATGTAGTTTTCTAAGTCATAAGTATATGGCATCACATATTTCTCCCTTTGCCTTACTCTTAACATCCATTCACTCATTCACAAAAGCATGTTGTTTCTCTTTTTAGCAATATTGTAAGTCAATTATAATTAAACAAACAAACAAATAAATAAAATCTTTTATAGTTTTCCACTGTTTTCAGGATAAAGTTTAAACTCTTTATCCAAGTACACAAAGCTCTACATGTCCTCTATCTACTCCAATAACTTTATCTCTATAACTTCTATACATGTACACTATCCTACAGCCATACCAAACCATGTTTAATCTCCCCAAATAATTCATATTAATGTAATTTGAATAAAATTTTAATTAGAATAGAGTTTAGCAAAATTTTTCTATAAAAGGCCAGATAGTAAATAAGTTGTGCTTTGCCAGTCATAGAGTTTCTGTTACAATAACTGTATCAATGTGTGTGAAAATAGCCACATGAATTCATAAATTAAATGAATGAGCATATCTGTGTTGTCATAAAATTTCATTTACAAAAATAGGGGTTGACCAGATTTGGTCACTGTGTCACAGTTTGCTGACTATTGAACTAGGAGACCCTGAGAAGCAAAGAAAGCCTTCTTAAATCTTTCTATAGAGCTAAAAACTAATTTTGATTTTTGCATGAGTTAATATTTTCAAATGTTAATGAGGTACAGCCATGATTATAACATTATGCAAAAGCCATCAAAATCATAAAGTTCTGAAACAAAAAATAATTTTCATCCATGAACTATCTTGCTAGCTATAATATGGATTTATATTTTCCTAAGCATTCCATAATTCTGAATTTTCACTTAGAAAACAAACAATTTTCTAATAAGTTTTTGCTTCATTGGATTTGACATATTCACTTATGCTTGAGTTGTATTTTATTTTTCTTGGTGCTAAAGTTTGTTGTAAACCATTTCTGTCTATTTCTAAGATGTTTGTTTTTCCAGGGTAGGAGGAAATCCAGAGCCTGGTAAATATTGGTAAGTTTACAGAAAGACTAATATCACCAAATGCTCCTATGACCCTATTACATCATCAGGCATACAGATGGAGTGTCCTTAATCTGAAGGAAAAGTGAAAATAGAAATAATTGGGTGAATAAAATAAGACTTTAAAAAAAGAAATAATTGAGATGTTTTTTTTATAGAGATTAAGGTAAAATTCTAAATATCTGATTTTGAAGTCTAATCAAAGGAGTAGTCAGTAAAAATTTTATTAATGCTCTCCTTTGTAGGAAAGAGAACAATTAGGGTCAAATCAAGGGTTTAATCCTATGAACAAATAGAGAGATGGTTATCTGTGGGATAGTTCTTGTGAGCCTCCCCAAGTCTCCTTCACCATACTGTCAATTTACCAAGCATTGGCATCTCCTTCCTTACTGCTCTCCTTTCCAAAGACAAATCCAAAAGCTTCGTGTGTTAATTATTCTAGACAATATTCCATTTGAATTAAGGCAATTAATATTTGACAAAGGATGCAAGAGCATACAATGGAGTAAAGACAGTCTCTTCAATAACTTGTTTTGGGAAAATTGGACAGGTACATGCAAAAAATGAAACTAGACCACCAACTTACACCATAAAAAAATAAACTCAAAATGGATAAAAGTCTTAAATGTAAGTCAGAAAACTATAACATGGAGGGACCTGGAGAGTATTATGCTAAGCAAAGTAAGCCAGTCAGAGAAAAGCAAGTATCATATAACCTCAATTATATGTGGAATCTAATGAACAAAATAAACTGGTGAACCAAATAGATCAAGAGACATAGAAGCATGAACAGATTGTCAAATCTCAGAGGGAATATATGGGTAGGAAAAGATCAACAAAAGAATGTGTATGCATATATGCATAGACCATAGATACAGAAAATACGGTGGAAAAGGTCAGAGGCAGGGGCAAGGGTAGAATAGAAGGGGTCAAGAGGGGAGAAATGGGACATATGTAATACTTTCAAAATAAATATTAAAAAAAACTCACTTTTAATCTTAGAAGAAACCTTAGGCAGAAAAGTCTCAAATATCTTTCATAGCAATTTGTTTACCAATACATCTCCTAAGGCAAATGAAACTAAGGAAAAAATAAACAAATGTGACTACATCAAAATAAAAAGCTTCTGCTCAAAGTCTCTAATCCTCTGAGAGATATAAATTAAAAGAATAAGATACTGTCAGAACGGCTATCATCAACAAATCAATGAAAGTCACTGATGAAGCCTTACCATAATAGCAGTCAGCAGCTGTGTATCACTGCAGGTTGCCCAGAACCAAACCAGAGAGGGTTGGACCTGCATTACCACCATTTGTCCACCATCCAGAACTGAAACATCATTGCTGACATGTACACATAAGGAACTGTTTGACATTGAAATTGGGCCTCTAAAGAACTGGTGGCCCAGAAAGAAGCTCATTATAGACTGATTCATATGCCTTTCAGCATAACCATAATTGCTTGTCTCATTTTTTATTCTTATAAGTATATTTCCAGTAGGACATGATCTCACTCATCTAGGGGAAATAGTGAACAACATAGACTGATGAACAAGAACAGACCCAGAGATAAGGAGCCATGGGTCAGACTGTTGGACCTCAAAGGGAGGGTGGGGATAAAAGGGAGAGAGTAACCAAAGGACTTATGTGCACACATATGAGTCTAACTAGTGGTCAAGAACAATAGGGGGGTGGGGGTAAATGGGGGGAAGAGGGGGATTGGAATGGGGGGTTGAGGACAAATATGTGGTATCTTAATCAATAAAGAAATTAATTAAAAAAACTAAAAAAAAATCAACAAATGACAAGTGCTGGAGAGGATGTGGGAAAAAAGGAACACTCATTCACTGCTGGTTGAAGTGCAGACTGGTGCAGTTACTGTGGAAAACAGTATGGAGTTTCCTCAAAAAACTAAAAATAGAACTCTCATTTGACCCAGTGATCCCACTTCTGTGAATATATCCTAAGAAATCAGAAATACCAATCAGAAAGAATATATGCACCACTATTTTCATAACAGTGCAATCCACAATATCTAATATTTGGAAACAACCCAAGTGCACATCAGCAGATGAGTAAATGAAAAATCTATGGTACATCTACACAATGGAAAACTGTGCTGCTATAAAAAAGAAATAACTGTTACCACTGCAACAGCATGGATGGACCTGGAAAGTATTATGCTAAGGGAAATAAGCCAGTCAGAGAAAAATAAATATTACATGATCTCACTCATATATAAAATCTAATGAACAAAATAAACTGATGAACAAAATAGATCCAGCAACATAGAAGCATGGAACAGACTGTCAAATCTCAGAGCAAAGGTAGGGGAGGGTGGGTGGGTGAGAAGAGATCAACCAAAGAACTTGGGGGCAGGGCTGGCTAGAAGAGGACAATGGGGATAAAAAAGAGGACATAAGTAATACTTTTAACAATAAAATTTAAAAAAAATTATCACGGAGTGATACATAAAGTAATTATTACCCATTATAATCATGGTATGAGATTAACATTTTTGACTCTGTGAATAAGGACAACAGTGGATAGTACAGTCTCAGAATGATGGAATCTGTTTCCTTTACAACATGGTTCCACTATATCAGCTCTGGCTTACTTATGTGTGGATGAACATGTGAGAGGGAAATAACTCAAACCATTTCAATCTTATTTAAGGCAATGGGTATTTATGTTTTTTGATATATGAGTCTAACTTCCTGAATCAGAAGTAACTTGAAAAATGTATCATTTTAAGATCTGCTTTATGTCTCAGATTAGCAAATTGACCTACAGAGAAATTAGTAACTTAGCTATGAGATACTTTTAAGTTTTTATTAAATAGACTAGAGACCTGGTGCATGAAATTTGTGCATGGGGGGTCTCTCAGTCCCATCTGTACCCTCTCCAATGCGGGAGCCCTGGGGGATGTCCAACTGCCAGTTTAAACCTGATCCCACAGTTGAACATCCCTCTTGCAATCCAGAACTTCTGGATCCTAACCTCTCACCTGCCTGACAGTCCTAACCACTCTGCCTGTCAGCCTGATCCTGCTAACTGCTCTCCCCTGTGGGCATATTAACTTTTTTTTTTTTTTTTAATCTTACCCCCTTTACACACAATTATATTTGACTTCCTTATCGGCTTCTCCCTCTCACACAATTTTTCTCTCTCCTTTATCTAACACTTTTTCCTAGTGACTCATCATTTATAAACTTTTCTTTCTTCCTTATTTCCTACTTCTGTTCCATCATCCTTTCCATCTTTCTCCTACCCTCCCTCCTTCCCCATATTACTTCTTTCCTTTATCTTTCCCCCTCCCCTACGTCACCTTTTCTTTCCTTCCCACCTTATCATTATTTTTTTTTCATTTCCTCCCTCTGACCTGCTTTGCTCCCTAAGCTCTTTCAGCCTTCCTTTAAAACTTTTCTTCCCTCCATCTTTCTCTTTCATCCTACCTTTTCCATATACTCTTCTCTACTTACTTTCAATGTTTTAAAATCTGCCTAAATATTCACTATCATTTATCTTTTTATTTTTATTTTCTGACTCCTATTTTTAAATCTTTCCCCAGTACACAAATGTACTTGGTTTTCATTATAACTCCTAAAGTTTACTCATATATACACTTTCCTTCTTTAATTTTGCTCTCTACTGACTCCTTTATAAAGGTCTTCACTTCCTTCTTCCCTTCTTCCCCATCTTCCCCACCTCACTCTTTTACTCTTTTTTGCAGGCTAATTAAAATTCTATGCTTTTTGTCCTTAGTACTGACTGCTTTCCTTTCTGGGTCCTGTTAACTGCCTCTGTTTGGGCACTCGGCCCCTCTCACATCAGCTTTGAGGGGCCGAGTACACATAAAGAACTGGCCTTCTGCCATGTGGGTGTCTCCCCTCAGCTCCCCCCACTTCAGGGGAGTGGTTGGTGGCATCCCTGGGCAGAGTGCTCTCAGATGGGGCAAGGTGTCACAGGGTGTTTGTCAGCATGTGCACTCAGGAGAAAAGGGGGACCCTGGTGCCAGGGGCAGGGAAGCAAGCCTCACTCAAGTCCCCCTGCTGAGCACACACCTGCTGGTCTATCAATATGCAAATTGGTCATTACTGGGACTTCATAACTATCAATTATTACCTCTTTATATGTATAGATGTGAATCCTGAAACACAGGTATTTGCACGTTAACTGAGACAAGTTTTCTCTTTCTGTGCCTCAGTCTCTTCATAGATAGGAAAGGGAGTTATAGCACATGGCTTCTAAGCCCTCTTTCATTTATTAAGGTTCTGGTTCCAAGATTCTATAGGCTCTACTGCTTTTTTGCTTGCACATAATTTTTAAGTTCAATCAAGGAAAGAGAATGTGATTTTTAAAAAATATTTTTATTGATTTTTCACAGAAAGGAAGGGAGAGGGGTAGAGAGCTAGAAACATCGATGAGAGAGATACATCCACCAGCTGCCTCTTGCACACCCCCCACGAGGGATGTGCCCGCAACCAATGTACATGCCCTTGACCAGAATCTAACCTGGGACCCTTGAGTCCGCAAGCCCACGCTCTATCCACTGAGCCAACCCGGTTTCAGCAGGAATGCGATTTTGAACACGGTAAAGGATAAGCCACATTTAAACTTGACTTATGGCAATCAGATGTTGACTACTAAGATTTTTTTAATGGTGTGGCAACAACATCTAAAATACTGTGAACAATAAATGAAAAAATGAAATAAAATAAAATGTGCACACTCAGAGATGACCCATTATATTCAGAGAAATCTACTCTACCAGATAGAAGAGAATTTTGGGCTCTAAAGTACTGCTAAAGATAACTATCCTAAATCCCTAATTATTATACACTCTTCTCCATGCCCCTCTTTCATAAGTGATGATATCTGAAGTGCACATAAGCTTAATAGGGCTGGCAGTCCCCAAATGCATGACATTACAAATACTAGGATGTTCTTCTTCTCTATTCTATTCATAACCTTCCCCTTTCTCATGCAAAGCATGTGCAATGGAGCACAAGAAAACATTAACCTGCTTAAAAGTGTAATTGCTGGACTCATGAAATGCCTTTGAGATATCCCTCTGTGATTAATCTATTCTTACTACGATTAAAGAGAATAGAAAATTGGCCCTCATTTCAGAACACCTACAAATTAAAAAATGCTTTAATCTGAGTGCAGTAATAAAAGATTGTTGCTATACAAAAAAAAACAAAAAAAAAAAAACAAAACAAACAAAACAAAAAACTACTAGTCCCAGAGAAGCAAGTTTTGACAGATATGAAGCTATGAGGAAGGCATACTTGCATGAGAATATACTGGTCATTCCTATGAAAAGAGTGTAACTTTAAGTCAGGATAGGCTAGGTCCATGGTCGGCAAACTGTGGCTCACGAGCCATATGTGGCTTTTTGGCCCCTTGAGTGTGGCTCTTCCTCAAAGTACCATGACCTGGGTGAGTCTATTTTGAAGAAGTGGCATTAGAAGAAGTTTAAGTTAAAAAAATTTGGCTCTAAATTTTTTTTCCAATTTTTGTACTGTTGATATTTGGCTCTGTTGACTAATGAGTTTGCTGACCACTGGGTTAGGTTTTTAACAAAAACAGTAATGAAAATATTATAATCTTAAAAAAACAAATGTTTATTATTTAGCTTTCATGTTGGTGGGGTGGAGTCTCTGCCCATGTTAACCACTCAAGGACCCAGGCTGAAGGAGGATCCATCTTGGTCTATTTTCCAAAATCACAACCGAAGGATCATTGAAAGGCTGAAGCTGACAATGGCAATTAAATGCTTCTAATATTATGCTAAGTATAATAAGCCAATCAGAGAAAGACAAATACATATGATTTCACTTCTATGTGAAATCTAATGAACAAAATAAACTAACAAAATAGAAACAGATGCATGGATACATGGCACAGACTGACAGAGGTCAGAGGGGAGGGGAATGGGGGGAACTGGAT